CAACAAGACTTAAACCGTTCAGTTTGCACCTCAAGTAAACATTTTTATTTAAGAAAGTTTAGACACACACACACACACACACTATGTTTAATAAAGCACTAATATATTTAAATATATTTAGTTTTTTGTTTTGTTTCAATGGTGACATTGCATTTGGTTAACTGTTTCATTGTATCTTACTGAGTAAACAAAATCTCCTAGCTGGACAAAGAGTGAAACCCAAGGGCTGGCAACAATGTTTCAAACTGTAAGCAACTATTTCCAGAGCTCCCCTTGTTCTGTGCGCATTCTGCATCACTCTGAGACACTTCACAAACAGCCACTAAATAAGTTGATTCAAGCTGTGCCTCTGAAACAGAAAAACAAGTGTATCCCCCTATCCGCATAAAATTGTTTGCCAAGTCAGAATCAATTCAAAGATTCAAAATCAGAAAAGAAGCCATATCATAAATGCTATTTCTACATGAAATTGCATTTGGATCCCCAAAAAAAAAGCTCTTAAAATGGATTTCATGGCCTGCTGGGCAAGACATACAGCACTGAATACAATAGAAAACCCTGAAGCAATGCTGTTCGCTTTTTACTGTGATGAATCTTCAATTTGCAAATTAATAACCCTGCATTTGTAGGCAGACCTTGAATGTTTTTGCTGAGACGTTACTTTGCGATTTTCAGTATTTTTCCTTTCGATCGGAGGTGATGTCATCATTGCTGTTCCAGGCTCTGAGTCATGACAAAACATCTTTGATCTCTAAAGAAAAGTTTCCGATTCAAACATGTCCAACTTGTTGTCGACTGATGTTTTTTTTAAATAGTCAAAGCCAGTATCTATCACACTTAGGCTACTTGTTTGATATTTGCTTAACTGGAGTCTCTTGAATGCAGCAAGACCTTTTCAAAACAATATGCCGAACATCACAGCCATTACAAGCATAGAACCAATAAAGCATTCTGAACGGTCCTAGAAAATTAGATTTATGAAACGCAAGAGCAAGTAAACATGCAAAATAAAAGGGGACTGATGGGAATTAGGCCCCTGATTTAAACCACTGCATTTTTTAAAAATAAAGACACTAAAGCAGACATTTAAACTAACCACTTTAACTCCAGCTAGAGGCCTTTGTGTGTGTGTGTCCACAGCCTAAATGACCGAGCAGGATGTTTCTCCCTGAGGTTCAGACTCCGGAGCCGGACTGGAGATGTGCTCACACACTCTGCTTATGCAAACACAGCAAGGGGGCATTTGAGGCTCTATGAATGGATGGTCTTTCACAAAGACCCTCATCTGAGGGTGTATCAGTATGAGAGAGAAAACAACTGCAGAACGTTACCAGCAGCAATGAATGTGCATTACCAAACACAAAAGGTGGTTAAAGCACATTTCTGTTCACAGGCAGTGAGCCTATGCAGCAAATGCATGCAAATCATGTTCAGGCCACAACTTTTCCTCTCCTCTTCCAGTTGTTTACAGGTTTTTTTTCCCCACCAGCGCCACTGAGTTTAGTTCAAACGGATCTCTGTCAAACTGATCAAAACAGGTCAGCTTTTCATTAAAGCACCGAAAGGATAAGCTTCACATCAAGTCATCAGGATGCCCCCTTCATCTGTATCAAAGCCGTGATGCTGAATACGTGATCGTGCATTCAGCATCACAGACGGGGGGATTTAAAGCAACATCCACCTCCGTATCTTTATACCGCCGCACAAGAAGAAAAACAACCCCGAGCACGTACACACACCCCTCTACCGTCGAACCAACTTCAGCAGCAACCGCACAGACAACCATTACCGCGAAACAAAACACCCATGACCGCTTGCTTGATGATGTCATGCGCCTCTTGCATGGAGCAAATAGACATTTGGATTAAAAACGTAAAGAAGCGCTGGAACCGCATCTGCCTCTCATAAGGGGTGCGTAGCGGTAAGCTAATGTACCGCACAGACAACCATTACCGCGAAACAAAACACCCATGACCGCTTGCTTGATGATGTCATGCGCCTCTTGCATGGAGCAAATAGACATTTGGATTAAAAACGTAAAGAAGCGCTGGAACCGCATCTGCCTCATAAGGGGTGCGTAGCGGTAAGCTAATGCAATTCCGCGTCAGATTCTTCAAGAAGACATTTAACGGACAGTCATTACAGGCTTAACACAACGCAGACTTGATTCGTGAAGCTACTTACCTTGTTTTAGAGGGCAGAAAAGCTAGTTTGATTAATCCGTGAGTGCAAATCTGGATGCCCTCTTTCGCTATACTTGCTACTTTTAAACTGTGCTCTAAAATGTGCAGCTCCATCTTTTGCGTCTTCTCATTTGTGGTACATCTAAAAAAATATAACTGCCTATTCCGTTTTCATAAAACAAGAAAGAATAAATAAATAAATAACTAGAGCTTATGGTTAGGGCTTTAAAACCTTCAAACGGAGCGGAAAGGAGGGGAGAGAAAAGGAAAAGTTGTCTGTCGAGGAAAAGAGAGAAAGAGAGTAAATTGGGGTGAAATAAAAGAAAGCACAACGAGGTAAACGGGAAGGGAGAAAAAAAAGAGGACTGTCGGCCCCCGTGTTTCCACTCCGACAAAGATTGGAATGGGCCAGCAGCTGGTAACAGTGAAACAAACAACCTGTCACTCAAAAAAGGGGGCGGGACGAATTATACAGGAAGTGCATGTTGGGAAATATAGTTCAGCTATACAAAGTTAATCGATAAACATTTTTTTTAAAATTAAAAATGTAGTCATATTTGCGTAAGATATGCCATGCATTTATTTATTTTCCTTTTTTAAATATAAAATCAATTACAAACTCAAAATATGTGACAAAATTTCAGCACTTTATTCAACTAAAATTAGCAAATCGTTTCTTTAACAGAGGGGCATTGAAAATTGGCTTAAAAATGTGCTGGACATTGAACTTGTTTTATATTTTGGCCATGGCCACCGCTGACATTTACAGGACAAAACTGTTATTGATGGGCATCCTCTCCCCAAGACCAATGAGTGGGTTATTTGAAAGATCAGTGGTTCCCAACCCTGGTCCTAGAGGCACCCCAACACTGCTCATTGTGCATGTCTCCTTTCTCTGACACACCAATTTCAGGTCTTGGAGCAGGGGTGCCCAAACTCAGTCCTGGAGTCCTGCAGAGTTTTGCTCCAACCCCAATCAGTCACACCTGAACCAACTAATCAAGCTCTTACTAGACATACTAGAAACATTGTAGCAGGTGTGTTGAGGCAAGTTGGATCTAAACTCTGCAAGACACTGGCCCTCCAGGACAGAGTTTGGCCACCCCTGTCTTGGAGTCTCTACTAATCAGCTGATGACCTGAATCAGGTGTGTTTGATTAAAGAGACATGCAAAACGTGCAGTGTTGGGGTGCCTCCAGGACTAGAGTTGGGAACCACTGCGATAGATGACCTTATACCTCCTTCATCACACGGACAGGGACAATGTTGGTTTGATATAAATTTTGATCATTTTACCCACCACACAGAAAATTTACTTTAAGATTTTTTTCTTAAAAAGTTTTATTAAAGTAGTATTTTAGCATTAAAATGCCTGCCTTAAAATTGTTGTTTGCTAGACTAAAGGTGACCTAGTTTAGCCACTAAAATACTAGATTATAAAGTATGTGACCTTTTCTTGAGCCTAAACATCTTGCTAATCATTCACTGTGTAAAAGATGTGATGGGGGATTCAATCAATATCAATCTGTCCTGTCTTTTTCTAAACCAAAAAAAAAGTAGGTGGAACTTTTTCTTTTTCAAGATTAAAGATTAGAAGTGGAATGAAACCAGATGTTGGAATTTTATAACATGAACGGGGGAAAAAACAAAACAAATATACATACAGTAAGCAGTAAATCATTTGTACATGTAGTAAATAACCATCATGACACCCATTAATTGACAAAGTCCTGGCCCAGGGTGCATCATCTTATACAAGAAGGCAGAAGTTTAATAATTCACAAGTGCTGTCTGGTAACCAGGGACGGTGCTGCAGAGCGTCATAAAACAACAAGCATTCTTTGTGTGCAGCTGTGATAAGATCCCTGGGACACTCTGATCTCTCACAGGGACAGGCATTATTCAGTTCAAAGGACAGCACTCCTCTTTAGACGCTATTCCTTTCAGCATTACCACTCAAAACACTGAGTGGCAAGCTTTGGACTTTTTTAATATAAATAACAGGTATGTCTGTACTTAATGTTCTTAAATATGTAAAATTAAAGAAAGGACATTAGTCCATTAATAGCATTTTGAATGGAGAATCTTTAGTTTCATAGTCAAGAAATTGTTCAGCCAGCATTGAATATTTTCCTTCTGTAATACCCTTTATAAAAAATTATTTTAATAAGGAAAGGCTAAAGAACCCTAACATCATATTTCATAGTTCATCTCAAGGATCAGTTTTACACCTTTGTCATTGAAGACAAAAGCAAAAAGCTTGACTATTTGCGTACCGACTTAATACATTAATACTAAAATGGCTTGTAAAAGTTAATTCATCAATTAATCTAAATATTCAAGTGAATAAAATCCTTGTCTATTGTGGCTTGGCCTGAACAATTTATCTTTCCCAACCAGACACTTTATGAACAAATGAAAACTACACTAAGACTTTCCCCAAAGAGCAAACACTACAATAGAACATTCAAGCACTCACAAATTAAGGCTTAGTTACACGCTCAAAGGCAGCTTGTCAAAGCAGAAGTGGAGCACTAAAAGCTGCATTCTGCAGAGAGAATCCTTTAATCTGAACCCCATGACCCACATGAAGTCCTGAGAACCAATCTCCTGCCGGCATGACACAGGATATGTGGCTTTGAGATGTCAAATCATAATGTTATCCTCTCTAAGGTGAGCTCTAATAATGAGAAAACTGTAGTTTAAATGCCAAATTATATTCTCAACTGTACACTCGCGTTAGGAGATATTTGGGATTTCACATTGGTTCACCCTTTTTGAGAAAAAAAAAAAAAAAAACCCCTTCAACCACACAGATCTTTCATACTTAATTTATTGAAAACTACACCACAAAACACTCCAAAGCAAAAGCTTTTCAGATTTCCTGTGAAGTATCTCTTCACCAGCACCAACTGTTAAAGACAAAAGCAAATTGTATTCGTATTGAAAGTGCTAATACAAACTGCCAATGATACCGCTTTAAGTGAATCAGGTGTTGCCCTAAAGACAACAAGTTTATTTCGCAAAAAACCTTGCAAAACATCTCATAGGGCACTGATGTAGGATCACAGCGTTAAGGGTCGCCAGTAAAAAGAAGTGGCTGACCCCCTTTGAAAGTGATCCAAAGATGTGGAACAACTCTCACCTTCCAATAAAAGTCTGGCTGGGAAACCCTTCACTCCAACGCCAAACCTGTAACAGCATAAACAATTAAACGCGTACAACCTCCCATTTTGAGTTTAAGTGCATTTAAGGAAATGTTCCTAATAAATCCCAACAGAAATACAACTGAAGTGACTCATTAGAATGGGTTTTAATTTTTGGTCATGTCCACAGCAAGTCAGGAACCATGTATCCTAAAAGCCTTGGTATATGACCAAATTTATCACGTACATGCAACTGGGAAACATTCAAGAACAGATGCCTTACTTTTCATCTTGCAGTACTGCAAGTACGATCAGCTGCCAGCATTAATTCTTCAATCTAGTCAAATGGGACCTGTGGGCACAACACGAACACGTCAGGATTATCAAGACACACCGAGCTATTGAAACAATGTCACAAGGCTTCTAAAAGGAGAAAGTCGCAGCGTGTCGTTATCCTCCCCAGAGAGCGTCTTGGATGACTGCGGGGGGTTGTAAAGGGTTGGGGCATGCGGAGTATGTGGGAGAATGGAAAGCACACCAGTGACGGACCCCATTCCACACTAGAGAGGCTGTGCAGGAAAGTTTACATCAAAAACAGCTTGGGCTGCTTGATTAATTGAAGTAAAACCAAATGATCAGACACTACAAATACTGTAGTCCAACCATCTTTACATACTAACAAAAAGCACTTATAAACTCCGGAAGAGGCCTTGTCTCGACCACCGCCAGGACCCAACAACAAACGTAAGGTCCAATAAGAGCAGGGGGTCGAGGTTCTCTAGCACTGGCATTTGAACATTCCAGTCAGACATACAACTGGATGCAGATACCAACAGTGCTGACTTATGTTATTTCTAATAAGCCATTTTAACACTACAAACCTCTAACACACCGCCAATCACCAAAAAGGGGTGTTGCGCCTTCTAGTGGCCATCCTTCAGATCACACCTACAGAGTGAAAATTTACACAAGTGAGATGTTTGCTCTTTGCTATGCCTTACAAATTAAGGTACATCCTTTAAGCTCATTGAATGTACTGCACAATTTTCCCACAAAGCTAATGATATTAGCGACATGGGTAAAGCGATACTACAGACTTTATCTCAGAGGCATTTCCAACGACTACGCTCTACTGAGAGGGGCAAGTCGGGATAGACCTCACTTTAACAAATCAGTTTTCCAAAATGCATTATGATGCATTACGCCTTCTAGTGGACATCCTTCAGATCACACCTACAGAGTGGAAATTTAAAGTGAGATTTTGTTCTTCACTATGCCTTACAAATTAAGGTACACCCTTTAAGCTCATTTAAATGTACTGCAGCGTTATCCCACAAAGCTAATGATATTAGCGACATGGGTAAAGCGATACTACAGACTTTATCTCAGAGGCATTTCCAACGACTACGCTCTACTGAGAGGGGCAAGTAGACCTCACTTTAACAAATCAGTTTTCCAAAATGCATTATCAAATGGAAAAAATTATAAAAGTAACATTTACCATTAGGAGAAGCTTCCTCAGGTACAAATTATGCATTAAGTCACAGGATTATTCACCCACATTGTGTTCTGGAGCCTGAAAGTAGAAGGAAACATTAGAAAAGAACTTAAGTGTGTCTACACTTAATCTACACTTAAGCATAATGAAAGGAGTTTGAGTGTTCAGAATGGCACATACTCTTTCATGGTTAATAAGAGCAGTTGAACATTAATGCCAATCATCATTACAAAACTTTAATTCACATTAGCATTATCAAATGGAAAAAATTATAAAAGTAACATTTACCATTAGGAGAAGCTTCCTCAGGTACAAATTATGCATTAAGTCACAGGATTATTCACCCACATTGTGTTCTGGAGCCGGAAAGTAGAAGGAAACATTAGAAAAGAACTTAAGTGTCTACACTTAATCTACACTTAAGCATAATGAAAGGAGTTTGAGTGTTCAGAATGGCACATACTCTTTCATGGTTAATAAGAGCAGTTGAACATTAATGCCAATCATCATTACAAAACTTTAATTCATCATTATCCCAATAAAATCTTACCTGATTGCCCAGTCCGTTCACAGGAGGACCATTAATGTCATCCGAAACCTGAAAGTGCACACATCTTATTTGAAATAACACGTAAACGATAAAAACATGCACCATTTTCTGTGGTAAAATGTCTCTTCTCAATAGTAGCACTGTTATTTGGTGGCCACAACAGTGAGTTGCAAGAGAAGGGAATTGTAATTTTTGCACTGCACTAGTTCCTAAGCCCATTATGACTAGACCGTGACTAGTACGGTGCACTTACTTTCGAAAAACCAATCCAAACCACTTACCATACTACATCTGTTGGTTACTACACACTTCAAACACCATGGAGATGCCTAAGAATCTCCTGTTTGGAGAAATAAAAGAACATTAGTCTTATCGCCTCAAAGTACAGCAGTAGAGACATGTTGGGAATATACCAGGCCTCATTGTCATCACTGCAACGATTCTACAATGATGTTAGCAAACCTGCCGATTTCAGAAATTCCGCTTTTGATTATCTGCTTGGCAATCTACCAGATCCGATAAATCTTTAAACGCGTGTCCCCCACAAAGACCAAATCACCCACAATGGATCAATACAGTGGAAGATAATTAATGCACTTAACTACAAAAGTAATCTGAAAAAATAACTTTTTAGTTCAGTAGCTTTCTCTATGCACACGAGTCTGCAGGAGTGTTCACCACGTGGTGTAGGCTACTACTCGCTAGAACGTATTAGAAAGTCTTTGCATTAAACCTATTTAATGTTATCATAAACTTAAGAGAACACAATCTAGATAACTGAAATGCTGAAATAACAGACACAGATATTTAACAAACAAGTACCTATTTTTAAGCCAGCCTTCTTCACGAACACTTACAGGCGGGTTGAAGCTGAGAAGGACACAGAAAGAAAAGCGTCACGTTTTATATCTGACTTTACGACATTTTACGGCTCTGCGCCCTCCTCTGCGTTTCTGTGGTAACGTTAAGCAATCAAAACCGACAAATCTCTTTATATTACACTGGACCAGAGCCGTTGAGTTTCTCAACGGCTCTGCACTGGACTAAAGCCTGAAGTATTCGAGAAAAAAAATGCTTTTTAAATAATACAGTAAACGATGTTACATTTATATGGTATATTTTCAGCTAAAAGTGTGTTGAGAGATTTAATTTATAAATGGATTATTCCTCTGTTTAGCAGAAAAATAATCTGTTGTCCATCTTTTTTTTGTAATTGTATGCACAAAGATTAGATAAAAAGCAATTAAAACTATTCAGTTGCTTGTTCGTTGATATAATAATAATAATAATAATAATAATAATAAATGTAAGAAAAGTTCAACAAATGCGAGACACGTGACCTCACACTCACTAATTTTCGCGCCAGTGTATTCACGCAAGTACGCTTGACCTTTACTACTAACCTGTGTGACTGGCATATTATTCTTTCATTATGGGGGGTTGTATGTCAAGAAAAGAGATCCCTGATGAAATTTATAGATATTGGTCTGCTGTAGCATCTTCTCTTCGCCTCGGCTGGCTTGGAACGAATAACGTGAGGACGGTTAGTGCTACTAGCTAACGATAGTTAAAGCAAAGTAAAGATTAGAGTAACGTTAATTTGTTTATTATTGAACAAACGAGCTAGCTAGTATGCTGAATGTAATAATTAAGTTGGTAGTAAGTCAGTTAGTATGACTAGGTGCGTGGTGATATAATTAAACAAACAATTTGTAAAATAAAATGTAAATGTCATCAAGTAACTGGCTAAGTTACCATTTTCAAATTGCTTTATTTTATTCAGGAGATGAAAGCGTGCCAACTTGCTCTTTTCCCTAATCTGTTGAACTCCTCAGCTGTAGAAGAAGATATACTTGGCCTGGAGGAACATCTACGAGAGGTACTGAATCCATGTCTGTAGAAATGTCAACATGATTGCTTGTTTCCTGTCATGTCTGTACTAGTCTGATGTGCAGCAGAGCAACTGAAGTGTACTCTTCAATCTCACTTTTGATATTTGCTATAAGGTAGCTCTGGTATGTCACTTTATTGTCACTTCCATTTTAACCAGATCTGCATCTCTAGTTTGCAGTTAGTGCATTCACAGTGGTCTCTTGAGTATATCATTACATACTACACATAGGAAAAATTAAATCTTTTTGATTCCATATTTATATCAGCAGTGTAGAGGGAGATTGCAAAGAGCCTTAAGTGAGATATTAAGAGCCTTAAATAAGATATTAAATGGTTAGTTAGTCTAGGTCTAACCTGCATAATACAAATGTCAGCCTGGAATGCAAGTTAAAGGACTAGACAAATGCTTTGTTTTATAGTTTCACCTGACCTGGTTTTAGAAACTTTTTAGGAATATAGGATCAGGCCGAAGATGGTTTGACCACCTCGTGCAACCTCACAAGATTTTGCATGTTAAAAAGCTAATTCTGTACTTGTTTTAAACATTAATTGGTGTTATCAAAGTTTATTTGATATATAGAGTCCAGTTTATGATTACATAACAGTGCTCTCAAATCGATTAATTGCAATTAATCGCATCCAAAATAAAAGTTTGTTTACATAAAATATGTGTGTACTGTGTATATTTACATGTGTATATAAATACATACACATACATGTATATATATCTGTTGTTCAGATATTGACCAATATTTATTTTTAATATTTATTTTCATCAGTGTAAAAGTCTGGAAATAAAAATAACATCAAAAAAGTGTGGGCTTAAAGGGTATATACACCATAAATGTATATTTGTGGATTTTTCTTATGACAGGGTGCTGATGTCTCAAGTGGTGATGAGCGCGGTCGGACGCCTCTTCATGTGGCAGCAGGAGAAGGCCATTTAAACGCTGTTCGCTTCTTGCTGCAGCAGGGAGCAGATGTGAATGCCACTGACTGTTATGAAGAAACTCCACTTCGAGATGCCATACGCTGCAAGTACTTATCACATTTGTGTGCTTTACTGGATGTAAATTGCATAACAAGGTCAGAAATGAACTTATCCATTTAAGGGGGAATATTTGCCCCCTGGAATTGATTTCAATGGGCATTTTCTGCCTTTGTATGGGCAGTTTCTATAATTACCTTATTAATTGTTTCTGTGTTGTTTTTATGTTAGTTAAATGTAATCATTTACTTAAATATATTAGAATAATATACCAAAACAAAAGCCATCTTTTAACTGCAAAGGTAGAACAGAAACCACATCTGACATGGCATTTATGTTTATTTACACAGACTGTTTAATGTTGCTCAAATATGGCTTACATGTATTTTCACTACAAATGCATAATATACAGTAAATAGACTACATAAAGGATATCAATTGTATAAAAAAACAGGAGCTCCTTACATGGTAGGACTGCAATTTTATGACTACATTTTTGTTGTTGATTATTGCTCTTGATATTGTAAGAATGATTATTAATGTTGATTAATAGATTACATACAAAACATGTTTTTGTGTTTGGGGAAACAGCCCATCATACTCTGGCTATACAGTTAAACCTTTATTGCTTTTTTTGCATTAGAAAATCAAGACTACATATTGCTTATTAGTTGCTTGAAAAACAAAACTATTTAAGTTAAAAGCTATTTAAACGGGGAGTAAATTATATACAGAAAGCAAGCATAAAACACTGAAGCACTTTGCATCTAACGCAAATTATGCACACTTGAAAAAACTCCTTTTCTAATCATTGAAGCTGTCTACACTGTGCAAAGTATTTCTTACTTTGAATTTGCACTCATGGTTTATAATGAAATAATTTATGAGAGTGCAGAATTCAGTCAGTGATTTGCCACTGCATTCATAAGTTCAACAGAAATATGTGTGATTGGTTAAAATGCTGCCAAAAAAAAAACACATAAAAAGAAATGTGATGCAATGTGAACAGATCTAGATGTAATGCCACAGTCAACCACTTTTCACATTTCACATCAATCGCAACAGAAATTGTGCAGGGTTATATTTTTGCCCCAATCCTCTGTTAATTTCCAACCCTGTTGCATGCCCACGTTTACTGATGAACCTTTTAAATCACTAGGAGTTTGGAGGTGGTGGAGCTGTTAATTTCTGCAGGGGCACGTTTGGAAAAATCCTCAGAGGAACTTGGGGTTGAGATGTGCTGGTGAGTGGGATTATGTTTTTATACAGAAGTTAATTTCACAAAAGAGGGCACTTGATAAAAGGTGTTAGTCTGATGAACATGTTAACCTTAATAGCAATAATTGTAGTCTTCTCAATTTGGATTGTGCTTTTCAGTCTTGCATTCCTTGGAGACACAGAACAGATGGTGGCGTGGAAGAAGGCTGGAGTCAGTTTTAATGTTTCTGATGCTCACGGTCGAACTCCCTTACATGTGGTGAGGTTTTCTCAGAGATGTTAAGTAAATGTTGTTCCTATGATAAGCATCTAAGCCTGGCTCATCTTTCTTCATTTGCTTAAATAGGCGGTGTGTACCGATCAACCTGAAATGGTAAAGTTCTGTATCCGCAATGGATCCGATCTTGAGGTATGGACACAAAGTTTAAAACATGGTTAAAATGGTTAATCTCTCAAAAGTTTGGACACATACATTTTTTGGCCAATATTTTAGAATAATATCAAGTTATCAAAACACTTAATATGCATGCTAGGTTTTCTATTAGTCTTAAGGCAGTTCCCATATGCTAGGCACTGTTGACTGCTTTTCCGTCACTCTTCTTTTCAACTCGTCCAATTCAAAAAATGTAAATTAAATTCTAACTTTTTGTTGGAAAAGTCATACTGTATGTATTCACAATTGATATTGTCTATTATGCCCCTTTTTACAAGATGTAATATTGGTCTTGGGTGTCCCCAGAATGTGAAGTTTCAGCCCAAAATACCCAACAGATCATTTATTATAACAACTGGAAAATTTCATTTTTGGGGTGTGTCTACAAAAGAGCTGTTTTGGAGTGTATCGCTTTAAATGCAAAAGAGCTGCATATTCCCACCCCGTTTCCAGAAGAGGGTGTCGCGTATACATCTCTCTGCATTGCATATCTACAGTACAGCAATAAACAGCCAGTAGAAGCAACATAACTGAGGGCGAGAGAACCAGTGTTTAGCCGTACATATAGGAAGCCAAATGTACTGAAAGTGGGACGAAACAGAGCTTGCGCCGCGCATGACCTGTCATCAGTGCGGATCAATGGACCGAGCTGCGCGACCGAACAAATCTCGTGCTACGAATGGCGCGAACTAATCTATGGAGCCCCGCACATGACATGCAAGAAAAAATTAATTGTGCCCACGATTTACTAATTCGTTCCCTTGATGTACTAAAACGTGCACACGATTACTATTTCGTTCCCTCGATTTGCTAATTCGTTCCCTCGATTTGCTAAATCGTTCACTCGATTTGCTAAATCGTGCGCACAATTTACTAATTCGTTCTCTCGATTTATAAATTGTGCACATGATTTAGCAAATCGAGGGAACGAAATAGCAAATCGAGGGAACGAAATAGCAAATCGTGCACACGATTTTGCCTATTTTTTCCTGCATGCCATGTGTGGGGCTCCGTACTAATCTCACAAGCGCGTCGCTGATCAGTTAAAAAATACTTAATGTACGCACACAAATACGGTTAAAATGCTAAGCACTATAACGACTAGAGGTCGACCAATAAATCGGTTGATTTTTGACATTTTTTTAATTAATCGGCACCGGCCGATTGTGCTGCAAATTAGGCCGATTTATAGGCAGGTGTATCTGTGGGCAGCTAAGCGTTGTTGCGGAACACCGGAGAATCTCTCTCTGGCTGCGTGAGAGAGATGGAGCAACTCACACTCTGCAGCCGCTTCTTGTTTACACACAGCTTCAGCTAATGATGGCAGGGCAAAACAGACCATTTCGAAAGTGTAATTACATTTACCCTACTAGAATTGATGCTGGAAAATGATCATATTCATAAATGCAACAAGTCATTTGAATGTGAAAGTAGAAACATGCAATTCAGATGAAACTTCTGTGCTGATTATAACGTGCACGTTAACTTTCCTCATGAAATGTGTGTGTAGGTCCCCAGTGTTAGCAGTTTTTTTATTATAATGAAAGTGATTATATATATCAATACTCCTAGATTGTTGTGTGTTCAATTAAATAAGCTGAGCGAAACGAACTGCTTTAAAATGTAAAATAAGATTAAATTTGGTTTGCCAATACCCTACACTGTGGTAGATAATTGAGCTGGTTTTCTGCATCCAGCCAACATCGTTTGGAGCTTCTCGTGTTCAGCAAATAGTAGGGCTGGGTATCGAGTTCGATACTTTTTAGGCACCGACCGAATTGCCTCGATACCATCGAGTATCGAAAAACGTCTCGTCGTTCGGTACCAAATTTCGATACCTAAGGGGTTAATCTCATCAGCGTCAGTGAGCCAATAAAGGCCCGGGTATACTTCACTTTCCGCGTTCCGTTCCGTCTCGCATTCAGCCGTGTCCGCACAGCTTTCAAAGTATACTCAACCGCGGATGAGTGCAGACGGACGAGCTCAACACAGGCGCAGTTTGACTTGCGCTCTGTCTCAACTTTCACCTCGCGCATGTGCTGTTGTACGCGGACCGTCCGCGCGGTCTCAAAAAATTGCCTGCACACGGACGGGGTGCACGGCTGTCCGCGAGCCCTCCTGATGACGAAAATGACGTAATGTGGACGCGGACGGCCTAAGTATACTTTGGCCTTAAGCCTGCAGCACTAGCCGGTGTGTTCGACTAGAAGAGGTACGGCGCAGATCGATCAGTGTTTGACATCCGCGAGAGAGATTCGAAAGCGCACGGAGCAGTCTGCTCTCTTTAGCTCTCGTGGTACTGTAATACACCGATCGGTCTGCACAGTCGGTCCGCGTCAAGTCGAACACACCTACTAGTTAACAGCAGTTACACTCAAAGATGTGGCGCACACATGAGGCTATAATGTGAATGCGTCCCAGCCCCCTTAGATGTAAGGCTACATTTATGCTGTTTATGTTTTAAAATGAAAACGATCCTCATCATACTGGCGTTTCCACTGCGTTTCAAGCCGGCTTTCCACTATCTCCGACAAACGACAAGCAACAGAGATTGCCGTCTAACAGGGCCGGATTTACGCATAGGCATTCTAGGCATGTGCCTATGTTCGCTCGTCCAGGGGGGGGCCCAAACACAATGACGAGATATATAATATTTTTGTTATACTTTGGGCTATCTACAACAGTAAGAGAACCAAACCCCCAGAAGACATTGAGCAAATAAATATAACAAACAATTGGGTAAAAAATGACA